ATGCGGGGTGTGCGATAGACTTACCTCCACGTGGTGCACCTTGGGCAACGTATACTCATACGGCAAAAAAGTCTATTCACTGGTAGTTGACTTATCAATTCAAACTACCCCCACTGTATGCCCATTTCACAGTACTCATCTTACCTTTTCTCTGCTCTTTTGTCTGTCTCTGTCACATCTGTGAATCATTATTCTATCCCCCCTCTCGGCTTTTTGTCACTTTGATGTTCCTCCTCCTCTCTGTGAAGCCTGAAGTCAGCTAAATGGGTAATGATAACTATCAAAACGCCTCCCATTTGAAATAAATAAATAAATGTAATTGTATGCAGATGGCTACACTTTCCTTAGTATTGCCAAAGTTTAGCCAATGATATTTTTGGCTAATTTCCACAAAAAACATTTACTCGAAGTAAACTTTCCAATTACTTTGATATTATAAATTTTTTCTTGATTGTATAAATGATATCCCCACTGGAAAGATAAAAACAGATTCAAGTTAAAATTGTAAATGGCAAATTTCGGAGAAAATACTGCGATATATTGGTAATTATGCAATACTCTTTTAGCAGAAAAGTGCATTCTGCTCTCCAAAAACGAAGATACTAGGCTGTAAATTGCTCTGAATTTTCGGATTAAGTAAAATTGAGTCATTTTGGAATGTGATAATATTGTATACATCACTCATCACATGTCATATCACAAGACAAGATAATTTTTTATAATTAATTGTACTATTTTCACTAGATTAATTCATATACATTCACGTTCGATTTTATACATAGCATACGTTTTAAATGAGACAATTTTAACTCATTTCTAACATAGAATCAGCTGACGCTACTGCTAACATTAAGTGAAAGCTTTTACAAGAGTATTAATGACACATCTAATATATAATATCCGCGACTCTAAAGCGTTAAATGGTCTTTAGCGGGTAGTGTATGAAAACGCAGTTCTCTGCTGGCATATCACCTCAATGGAGCACAACTTTTTGGTTGTTCTTAATGATGATAATTGGAGCATCTTTTATTGGGGCATATTTGGAACACACGAAAGTAAGAAAAATGACTAAATAACTCAGTACTAAAAATGAAAGCAAGTTCCTCTTGCACGTGTTTCAATCTTAGCTTATTTTATAAAGAAGGTCATTTTAGTTGCTGTCAATTCGGGCATATACACCATCAAATAGATACACAACGCAAGGCAACTTGAAGCCATGTTAATACCTTGGTTGTTTGGGAATATTCTCAGGCGGATTCGAATTTATTGCGCTCTAGAATCTATTTCAACTTATAAATTAAGCAGAGATAAACTAACTTTAACATATTCGTATAAGGGAATTGGTGTTGAAATGGTATTTTTATTGAAATGTTTAACATGAGGATTTTAAATATGCGAAATGGATAATAGGTCAAAACTCATTTGTCTTTAAAAAATAGTAGTATTCCTATGGATGATCATCTAAAAAGATGGGACCGGAGGGAGAGGGGGAGGTGAATAGGGCAATTCAGTACTGATTATGTTGGTGTGAAAATATAAAGACCATTTGCATTAAATAATTGGACAAAGCCCTGCGTACAGATGAACTTAAAAATGTAATAGGCCAGTTACTTCACCTGTTTTGTTTCCCAAATTTAGCTGAAATTCTTATACTTTTAATAAATTTCACATTTTAATCTTACTTTTGTGGTTGGCACTGATCATGATACTGGCCTGCATTGGAAACATAATCAAAAACCCTATTAAAACATTCTGAAAATGATGAAATCTTTCTACGCCTTTATAGTTCCAATAATATCAAATGCATAATCAATTCAGTCTCAAAGTTATGGCCGCCGACCTTATCTTTTAAGTTAGACTAAAGTAAATTATTCAAGTTATCTTCCTTCCCCCCCCCCCCTCCCTAGTGTTTATAGCCAATTACAACCTCTTCGAATAACTATAAGCAAACATGTCATGATTTATGTTCATCAATTTGCAGGATTTAAGCTAGTTATCACTAGCCAATTAGTTGACTTCGGTCCTCACATAGGAAAGGAACATTATTATTATTTCGTATTTTGTAGTCAACTGCCGAGTTGCAGACTTTTTGCAGTAAGAGTAGACGTTGCCCAGGGAGGACCACGTGGAGGTAAGTCTATCGTTCACCCTATTATTGTTTATGAATATTTATTTATTTAAGCGTTCCTTCTTTCATGCTCATGTCTTATTTCATCTCTCCTCGCCCCGCTTTTGTTTTAGACTATGCCAATTCAAGCACATAAAGAAACGTATTAAATAAGACACATGATCCATACATGACATATATGAAGAGGTGATTCGCGAAAAGAGAAAGTGACCGAAATAGCACAGGGCCGGCTCCACGTGTATGCATTCAGACATTTAAATGTACTTTCATTATTAGATATAATCGTTTCTTGAGCACAAAGCATTTCATTCAGCCATTTCAAGATGCGGATTCGGTTGACATTACGATCCCTAATGCCTGCTGTTCGAATTCTCTGTGCCATTTTCGCAATATACTGCATTGTGTGTGGCTCAATAATTCTTAACATCGGAAAATTTGATGATACTGCAGTTCCGCGTTGGGTCTCTGGTTTCGTGGCTGGAATCGTAATTTTCGTTTTTGGAGTCATGATGGGAAGGAGACGATTGATTTGGATTACAATTCCAATGTTTACAGATGCTGCGCTCATAATAACCAATTCAATCACCTTAAGAGATAGAAAAATTATGAAAGTCTCTGATTGGTTGAGTGTGACCTTGATAATTGTTGGTGCAATTCACTTCGGAATGGAATTGACGGAATTACTTATAGAGTCAATTAAAATGCGAAAAAAATATGAAAAGAATGTCGGGAAAAAGGAAGAGCTGCAAGGTATCCAGGCTATTTGATTCTTTTTGACAGAACTTTGCATTTCCATATGTATGCATTAACCCTTATATTTATCTGTAAATATAAAAGAAAAGAAGGTAAAAAGATTCGTTCATTATCCTTCGAAAAATAAAGCACCCGAATTTCGGCTTTTAAAACATGTGTTACAGCGAAAAAAAATATTGATATGAATATAAACAGGTCTATTTATATTTTCTGGTATCTCAATAAATGGCGTGGGCACGAATATTTTATTAAAATTAACTCTTTTAGCCCAATTGGTCAGCATTTAGAGTTTCATTTTAAGACAAACGTATTTACTAGCGCTTTTTCGCAAGTTATTTGGGGTTAAAAGTTAAAATGCCGTCAAACTTCCTTTCTCTGGGACTGAAGCTTGACTTTCCAAAAAAGGGGTGAGTCGTTCCAAATGAAAAATACGCGCGCTAGACACACGCGGAAGCAAATAACAATGCCAGGCGTATATAAATGGGATGATCAGAGGGAGAAATTTTGGAAGGCCAGAAAAAGTTTAAATTACAGATCAGCCATAATTTGTTACATAACAAAGGTTACAATATACTAAATTTGTTTTCTGACAAATTCCCTATTAAAATTGTGTTATTTTAAGCATTATTTACGCTGCTTAAAAATTTGCGATTTGTTTTTCTGTGGTTTTGTCAACGCTTCACATTTGATATTCCCTTATTTGATAGATGACTTCTAGACACGAAGGTTGGTTCTCCTTAATTTTTAGGTGATTTTGCCATCTGTTCAGTGTAAATAAATTCTTCAGGTTGATTTATAGTTCCACAATTTGCTATACTATTTACTCTGATTTCAAATCCAGTTTTTTTTTTAAATAGTTGATACCCTGTATACATATGGTAGCTTAAATGTCATGAATATGCTCTTTGCTTTGTCGATTATATTGTCAGACTTTATGTTTGTCTTTTTACATTTAAGTTAGACGAGCTCGGGAAGGAATAGGTACGGGTTAAATCATTTAGTTCTTATCTTACTGAGAGATTTTGTCTTATTCAAATTGCTCTCTTTTAAGTCTATCCTGATGTGACCAGTCTAAGTAAGCTTGAGCTCTTTGAGTTGCTAGCTCTTATTTGCTTAAATGCCGATTAAATTTACTTTTGTTTAATTTTTAAGACTCTGAGAGAGCATCTTACTCAGAATACGATGAAAGTAAGAAGTTTATGCCTCCTCGCTATAAAATACTTGCCTTTAGTATCACATTAATTTGATTTTTTTGAAGTACCTTACCCATCGTATCCACCCAAAAACGGTTTCAGATGTTGCTCTTTGTTATATTCGATATTTCGCTACTTTGTTGTCGTTCACTGCTATTATTTATTAGAGTATTTGTAAAATAAATACGTTTTACCGCATTAGGTGTTAAATGTGATGCTTGTGATACGAATGCCTTCCGCCTCAGACGATACAAATGCCTCAAGTGTATCGACTTTGATCTCTGTGGGTCCTGCTTTGACAGTGGTGAGGAGATTAATCAACACCACTCACATCATCCCATGCAGTGCATTATTCTTGAATCAGATTTCAAACTGTTCTTTCCAAAATCTGTAAGTGATTCGTTTTTAAGTGACTATTTTGTCTAGAAACCAAGTGAGATAAATCGAAGTTATACCTGCCCAGTTTGTGGAACGACTGGTTTTCAGGTGGCTGATTTAAAAAATCATGTGGAACTAAGGCATCCGAGTACACATCACGCTGTTCTCTGTCCTCTTTGTGCTTTTCCATCAACGGAATTTGTTATATCTGCCGGTCATAACCCAAATCGACCTCATAAAGATTTTTTAAATCATCTTCAGACTGTCCATCGACTTAGAAAACCCGCAACTAACTCCTCTCATGAACAGGATACTGGCAATAACAATAGCAACTCACCTCCCGTAGAACCTTATCTAAATCGAGATGAAGAGTGTAAGTTGGTATCAATTGTCTAATTATCCTCGGATTTTTAGTCTTCTACAAACCTGAGGGTGATGGGAAAATTTCGGGGCTTTGCAAATTTGATAAACTGTTGTCTCCTGATGACCAGGTTATAGATGGTCTAGTATCGGGGTCTACTTTCTCCTCTCGAGATTTGGGGCTGAATATTCTATCTCGCTTGGAGAAGATAGGTACAAGTTCGTTAAATGAAACTCCAATCTCTCAGAGTTCTAATATGGTATGTTTGTTGGATTTTAGTTGGGCGATTTGAAAATATGGATCGCTATTTACTTATTTACTCTTCAGCCATGTTAGAAATTGCTTTCATATTTTTTTAGCAATCTCTTGTTTGTCTTAATACATTAAGGCTCTTAAGCCAAGACATCGCCATCTTTCTTGATTCCTCCACATTTCTCTATTTTGACGAGAAACCCAATAAGACTTGACCTTGTCGAGTTTCGTGGTCTTCCAGTTGTTAAGGATTGATGATGTCGGTTTTCAAAGTTTTACTTTGAATACATTTCTGTCAGTTTATATTCGGTACACTTATATTTGTGTGTTTCATTACTTCTCATGCCATTTCGCGCAAGGGTTTTAACTCATTCTTAGTTTTCTGACATTGTGGTCTGATTTCAACAGAGAATTCCTTTATGTGCTGTTTGCTTTATCCTAAAATGCCTCTGTTTTGACTTTCTATTAAATACATGGTGGCGCTCAATACAACTACATGTGAATGTTTTCAGCCGAGGTCATTATTTTTGGTTTTAAGACTACCCTGAGCAATTCGTTGAAAAAGTCATATATTTTTGAAATTTTAGTTCGGATTCTCGTAACGCTCAAAAGATTTCTAGGTCTACTTTGAGTCGGTCACTTTCGTCTGCCAAATCAAAGTTCAAGAAGTTGATCCAATGGGCCGGGTATACGAATGCTCTGGTTTCATTCTGTCTAATGAAAGGTGTAATAGAGTGTATTTGTTCCCCACATGTGGCTTCTGAACATTGGTCTAGTTTTATCATTATCAGATATCGGATATCTTGCATTTACTATAAATTGGAATCATGGGTTCTCTATAATAGGTTCGAATCGGTTTTTCTTTTTTTTCCGATTACTTTGGTATCTTAAATTCTTTTCATTTGTTCAGCTTCCAGTTAATGCTGCTCTCAAGACTCATAAGGAGAAGAGTGATAGTATTATGCCTTCGAAATCGAGTGGTGTTGACAATCACAACAACTCAGATTATGAAGATTCTGTTAATGACGAATCTGACGGAGAAGTTGAAGATGACTCGGCCTCTGAAGCACCATCGGAAGCCGCTTTGGCTGAAAGTGGTCGGATTGTCAATGCTGAAGTGGTTGATGGTGACTCCGTGCTCCTTGCTAGTGCAGCTCAAGAGGAAGATAAGGAGTAAGTTACTCTTGTTTGCGCATGAATTGAACTTTTCTTGTTCTAGTTTATTCTTGTCTTATTTTACTTAGCTCTCTTTATCTTAATGTATATGGCAGTTGTAATCATCTTGGTTTAATTTCAACTAGTTATGAGTTCTAATTAAGTGACTAGTATTTGTACTCAGCTTATGGTACTCAGTCCGGACTGGCAAGTATTTAAACGGTGCTCTCAGTAGGCTTAAGTTGAAATATGTATATGTAGCGCAGCAGTTAAAAGGCTCAAAAATCGACATTAGATCAACACTGTTGAATGTTTTACAACTTCTTTGGAATGTATGGTATGTACTTCAAGAGTATTTCCATTGGTCTAATCCTCGGATGTGACAATGTCAATATTTGAAATTTGCGTTATTAATAGTTTTCCTTTTTACTTAAGATTAAGTCGTCTCATTCTTATATAAATTCATTAGTTATTGGCGTTAATTTAGGGTAAATTAACTGGCCTTCTATATTAGATGTTATTTGAAACCAAGCATGATTCGTTCTCCTCTTCCTTGTTAAATTTTGACTTCTAATTAAGTTTACAGTTTTCATTGAAAGTGATCAAAGTTGCCGAATCTTCTATTGAAACCTAACGCAATTAAACTTGTAAGTTTAGTTGATGATCAAATTAATTACCGCTTACAGAAAGATACTCTTTGTACTCTGCGATTAGCTATCTCTTCTTGAGGATCATTTCGAGAATCGTAATAGACTTATATTTCATCTACAAATATGTGTGTATTGAAGATTAAATAAGTTTTATTGTTAATGGCTATTCATTAATTGTTCCTCCCCCCTCCCGCCCTCAATTTTTTAGTGTGACACACTGAACTCAAGGAATGCAAATTTGAGGGCTATCGTCTGCATATCTTTTGTATGCGATTATTTCTTCTGGAGATTTTGAAAGATTATATCTCAATTCAAGTCGATAGTGACTGGGATTTGGCTTCCGATTTTAGGCTTTGCCTCCTCCACTTTTTTTAGAGCCGTTTGAATATTTTAGAATGTCCGCCGACGCCTAATTAAAATCTACTTGTCTAATCCATCACTAGGTACTAGCCCAGATTGGCACTTTATAAGCCCATGACAGTATGCCAGCTTTTTGTCAGGCTGCTAAATGAGTACTACAGAGCTATTTTCTTCAATATATCTAAGATAAAAATATGAAATAGAATGGATAATACTGATTTCGTTCCATGCAATATATCTTCAATGGTTCTAACAAGTTTCTTGTTTTCTCTTTGTAGCAAAGGCGACAAAGATGCAGGTACTGTCGATCAGGATTGGGTGACATTTGTGCAGGAGTTGATATGGGACAGTCTAAACTTGAGGAGTCTTTCACTAATAAAAAAAGATCATTGATCACCGTCACACCAAGATGCAAAATTCTACAACCACGTATCGTCTTTCTCAGGAAGGCCACCGCACCCTTCCTCTCCTCTCACAAAGAAATAAATCACTATTTCCTTCGAACTCCTCTCCCTCAACTTACTTCGTTTATTACACTGCTATTAAAAAAACATTTGAGCCAGCGCTAATGCTGTTTATTGCTGCCTTTCGCTCTTGAAAAAAAAACAGGCAAAAGAAAAAGAAGTTCAGATAAAATAAATCTTATATTTTAAGGGTAATTTGGCGATTGGGTCTGGCAATCGGGATTAATTAGGCGAAGGCATTCATCAGCAAATTCAACAAAGAGTGGTTCTTGCATGGCTCTTTCGATGGCTCGAGAGGGCTGATGGGAACTGTCCAGGTTTGTAAGAAAGTCGCGAAGATGACGGTTAGCAAGTAATCCTTTCAGACGTTCTGAAGTCCCTAGAATTTGGCGAAAAGTTAGAGCTAGAACACTTACTTAGTCTTTCAAGAACACCAGTAGGAATGTAATCAAAACAATCGTCACCGAGATCGATGGGAACAATTGGAACTTGTTTAAGAAATAAAAATAAATTGCAACATACCATCTTTCTCTTCCTCTTTGGGTTCTTCTGAGATTTTTATGCAAAAATCCTTGTGCAATTTATAACAATTTAGAGAACAACTACGCTTGGTTTGAGAAAATGAAATGACTTACTGCTTTAATAAACAAGATGCACACTTGTATTTCCATTCGGCTGTTTTACACACAAGACACAGATTATCCGTCACAATATCTGTCCTGTACCAAGATAAAAATAATAAAGCACAATACTTTTAATAAAGTCATTGAAATTTATTCACAGATTTAAGAACACGCTCAAATTACATTGAAAGCAGCGTTTATCTAACTTCAGCGCTTAATATCAATACTTAAAACAAAGTTAGATTCCTAATAAATGTAAAAATTCGATGATTGATCAAGACGTATTTTAATAATTTATACATCTTTTAACAGGTATATAATGCATAAATTTTCATTAAATATAAATCATTTTAACTCGACCTTGGATTTGATTGGATCGATTACCCCAGATATTACAAAATCTCTGTACGCGAGGCTTTCGTCGGTAAATGACGAGACAAACTGTAATTGAAGGACTCCATAGGCAATTTAATTCAATACGCAGATCAAGATCTAAGTGGATTGAAGTTGTTGATAAATCCGGAAAAGTCTTCACAAGCCTAGTTTACAACCTTATGCGTGAATTGTCTTCCTTTCGTTCTGACACCACAGAGGACCTTTGGTCTGTTGATTTGGTATATATGCCCATATATTCTTTTTTTATTGCAAAGCTTCCCCGTTTTCACTTATGATTAAATATTCTAGATTCCTCAATGCAGTGCAGCCTGTCATTTATTCCTATCTGGAGACCCAATCGGGGCAGCTCATTTAGCGGCTGCTAAACGAATAGAAGATGATTTTTCATCGTTGGAGAATCTTCTTGGGCAGATTCAAAATTGTGTAGACTTAGTAGAGAAATCAGTATGTCCCACCCCTTTTATAAATTTTTACTTTTAATGGACCATTCTCTCCTGATTATTTACTCTGTTTTTCATTTTTAATAGGTTCATTGTTTATCTGCTCTGAAGAAATTGAACATAAACCTGGGCTCTTCAAACCTTGATGGTCCAGTGTCGATTCTTGTCTCTGACTCAAAGAAACGCACTAAGCATAGGCATGATTTAAATTCTTCAATTTTACCCTCGGATCATATTCCCTGGTCTGTGATTCAAGCAGAATCTGAAGCACTCCTTCGCCGTTTGCGTTCTGATCTCACTTTACGTAAAGAATTCCTTCGAGCACTCACACAATCCTTCGCCACAGTTAACTCAAATTGCATTTCTGGTGAGCTGAGTGAATTTCAACGCCTGAGCTTCCTTTGGCGTCAATCAGAGCATCTGGTTAAATGGGAAAATCTACTTGCACTTGAAGAACACATTGAATACGCGTTCGGTTAATAGTGTATGTATAGTTTCGGCAGCTTGTGAATGCAAAATTATTTTTTTATGAAATCTTTCCTTATTTAAATGGGATCATTTACTTTTCGTTACAGTTAATTTTGTTGATAAACCCCTCCAAGTCACAGTTTTTTCGAAATTTAACTAATCTGAATATCAGCATTGACGCATTACCTTACGATTCGAAACTGGTAGAATTACGTAGAAATTTTCATTCCAAATCTATTCTAATCAATAAGCATGTAAATATGCATTACCACCTCCCATCCCCCCCAGCCCCGGATACTATTTCAGTTAGTGCCTATCGTTAGCTTGAAGAAAAGCAAAATTTTAATGAGCTATAAGATTCATTTCATCCTAAAAGGGCTTGGCAAAAATACATGGCAGTTAGATTGGGGGTATTCATTAAGATTGGGCTCGGGGTTTAGAAGAATTGTAATGCTCTCCAGTTGTGTACGCATGGTGATGATAACTGAAATGCACAAAGATAAATGTTTGAGTAACTGGTATAATAGAATCAATTTGGTGAAAAAAATTATAAGATCATTACCTTAGGGGGATTTTGGTTCTTAATTATATATAAGAAAATCAAATTTAAAAGGTCAAGAATAATCGTAAGATAATAGTATCAGTGAAGCAAAAATCCAAAAACCAATTTTGTTTTACGAAAAAAGAAAGCCGTGTCGGGGAAAGAGAAATAGGTTAGTTAATTGCTGAACTTCAATTTATATACACCGATTACTATTATTGGGTTGGCAACTAAGTCATTGCCGTTTTTGTTGACGGATTCATTCTATATTTTTTTTGTTTTGTTAACGTGGCCAGAGCATCTAACCTATATTTTTTCTTACTGTATGGGCTTCTAGGTTAATTAGTAAAAAATTTTTTTGTTTAGTTCTTTAGTTTTGTTTTTATCCCAATTTAAAAATGAAAGAACAGGACGTGCACTTCCGACACATTTTATTGTATTGCTTCCGAAAAGGCAAGAACGCATCGCAAGCACAAAAGAAGTTATGTGCCGTATATGGAGATGAAGCCTTAAAAGAAAGGCAGTGTCGAAATTGGTTTGAAAGATTTTGTTCCGGTGATTTTGTACTGAAAAATTCACAACTATCTGGCCGCCCAGTCGAAGTGGATGAAACCCATATCAAGCCCATTATCGATTCAAATCGTCACAACACAACACGAGATATATTGCAGAGAAGCTCAATGTGTCGCATACATGCATTGAAAAAAAAAAATTAAAAACCCTTGGTTATGTCAAGAAACTTGATTTATGGATCCCTCACCAGTTAAAGGAAATTCATTTGACTCAACGGATTAGCATCTGTGATTCGCCGCTACTGAAACGCAATGAGAATGAGAATGATCCATTTCTGAAGAACCTAGTTACTGGAGACGAAAAGTGGATAGTTTATAACAATGTTAATCGCAAGAGATCATGGGTGAAGCAAGATCAACCAGCCCAAACAGTATCAAAAGCAGAGATTCACCAAAAAAAGATTATGCTCTCAGTCTGGTGGGATCACAAAGGAATTTTGTATTTTGAACTCATGCCGCAGAACCAAACGATAAGTTCAAATGTGTATGTTGAAGAACTCGAAAAACTGAAGGATGCTATTGAAGATAAGCGGCCGGCATTATCAAATCGGCGGAAGGGTGTTGTTTTCCATCATGATAACGCAAGGCCCCACGCATCTTTGGTTACTCGGCAAAAATTATTGCAACTGGGTTGGGATGTTTCGTCACACCCACCATATAGCCCTCACCTTGCGCCTTCGGATTACCATTTGTTTCGTTCCATGCAAAACTCTTTAAATGGTAAAATTGTTAACAACGCGGATGATGTCGGACCACACCTAATTGAGTTTTTTAATAGCAAAGACCAGACATTTTACGAACGGGGAATTTTTACTCCGCTAGAACGATGGAAAAAGGTCATCGACAAGAACGGCCAATATCTAATTGAATAAAGTTGTATTTTTAAACAAAAATTCCGAATTTGCCTTCTTATTTGAAATCGGCAATGACTTAGTTGCCAACCTAATCGATGCAATTTGCAAACAATTATTATCACACGAATTAAGACTTGGAAACAGTTAGAAAAAATTACCTTTTTAACAAAAGGATCTTCCCAAAATGCCACTATTTAGTTACCAGGTTGGTGAAATTCGTGCAAAAAAATCTAAACTCTTATAAAGCATGAACTTACGTTATAACTAGAGGAGGCGAATGCGTGAACAATTCGCCTATCAAAATTGGTGAACCCGTAGTCTGGATCACTTCAATCGGTTGCTCAAGAGCCGTGGAGAGAGCTTGAATCTGGATGCAATTATGAAGTAAGCAGAAAACGCCTGATAGATGCGGAGCTTTTAAAAAGAATGAAATACATACCTCGAGCTGATCACCCCAAGTCCCTGCTATCTCCATTTTTTTACAGTAGAGGTCAAGTGTTTCTATGAAGAAAACAAAGACGTTTAATATTTCTCTAATGAATCAGAACTAGTTTATGCAATGAATAATAACAAAGTATTAAATTACAGCCCTAAAACACTATTCTACATCCAACCTAAGTACAACTTAATTCTTTGGTATTTACTAACTACGTTTAAACAGATTTGAATAATCTTGAAGTTCTTTGCGAAATTCTTTTTTAAGGGCAATAGAATTTCTCACATCCACTAAGGTAACTTCTTACAATACTTGGAAACGAATCGAGTGAAAGTGATCTGGAGATACTCTTATCGACCAGATTACCCTTCCCTGTACATATCTGGAATCGGCATCTCATCAATTGCACATTTTTCCTTTATTATAGTACACGAGGTTACATAAGCGTAACCTCAAACTGTTCTCTATTGAAAAATTTTGGTATTTGATCATAACACAACTGAAGTTCTCCTTAACAAACCTTCCGTAGAACCGCTATCAATATCAGATTCTGCGCAGATAAAGGGTAGGAAATCGTTGGCGTTGCTTCGTATGACGGCTGTGGCAACTAATCGCAGACACCGTACAATTGATTTCACATCTGGTGGATCAGGGAATCTGACGTTGAATTCACTGCATGCTTTCTTGAAACGCTCCACCAATCCGTGAACCTCGATTTGGTGGGCGATGGAGGCGAATAAACAGTCTCCATCGGAGGGAACCTACAAAGGAAAAAATTCACAAAATTGAAAAACATTCAATAGTTGTGATGATAAATGAGAATTGCTTAATCAGAATATTGGCGTATTAGTACTCACAGTGAACATCTTGAAATTTCTAATTTGTTCCATTAATTGCATAACATTTTTTAAATATTAGAAAAAAGGAATGATGTTGAGCAAGTGCTTCCTACCGGATTGTCCATAAACAGGTAGCCATTAATCTAGGGATGGGTAAAGCTTCTATCTCAAATTCTGAAACAATTCGAAAAATAATGGATTATCCATTTCAGAATGTTAGATATGTAACAAAGCCAGTTAAACATCTCAAGTGAGAACGTCTACAGGAACATATATATCAAGACTAAATTCTTGGCTAACATTTACATAATAAATTAAATAAAGATTGTTTGATAGTTACCCTATGCAAAGTCAATCCACGCTCGGAGAGAATTTTTTCGAGTTCAGTGTACTCCTTAGAAGATATTGAGTTGCCTTCTTTGATAAGAGTTTTTTCAACGGATTGTGTTAAGAGGAGAGCCTTTGTAGCAGCCTTTTCACGCCGTTTTGCGGCTTTCGATAACCGGGGAACAGATTCATTGTCAGTAATTGCAGAAGTGGAATGTTCATCTATTCCTGAAAACAAATATAAAAGAAACAATGAACAAACCTGAATTTGAAATATTGCAGCTTTGAATAGAAGAAATTAATTCTTGAGCTTCTTTTTCATGGCGATCTGCTAACTCTTTTTCCAGTACAGCGATTTCTTGAGTAACCTGATTTCGACGATTGCGATCTCCCTTTGGAACGCTTTTTTTAAGAGCAGTGATTTTTGCTATGGTGGAAGTCTATAGAATTACACGTATAAATATTACCTTGGAGTGCTTTCTTCTCCTTGCGATGTTGTTGGTGAAGTTCTTCCATCGCACTAAATGAAAAAAACATATAAATACTTAATCAGGACATTAAAAAAATTTGATTTGAAAGTAATAAGAAAATTTGGGAAGACATTGATCATTATTTTTCTATAACCCACGCAGCCACCAACCCGCAGCGCAGGACCAATGAACGAAGGGATTCATAGTCCGCACGGGCATACTCAGCACAAATCTGTGAAAAAATGTCTTGTATTAATGCATTTACGCGAGATAAATTAAGACGTTATATTTTTCCTAATTTCAGATCATCGAATAATTTTTACTTTTTAAAAAAGTGTCAGTCTAAAGAGTCGAAATTCTCTCAAATTACCACATTACACATATCAAGGCTAATCAATAGTCTAAAATTGAAAAACAGTTTAACATAGAAAATAATAAAACTTTTAAAAGGGGCTGGAAAAAATGAATTTTGCTTTCTATTTGAACTCAGTAAGTACACTTAACTTGATGCATTTCATCTAGTCATATAATAATGGAAAGAGTCCAAAGTGAAAAATTTATGCAAAATTTTACATCTATGAATTAAAGAGCATAATGAACAAAATAAATTGTGTGGAATATTGGTTACAGTATAGTTAAGGCTGTATTCACTCCAGCGCAAATAGGCTAACTTATTTTATACAAAAAATGTTCATACAAAAGGCATATAAATCCAAACAGGTTAATCATTAAAAGGAAAGCAAATGCGTCATTATCGTCTCATTTTGAAATTGATTGACCTTTAAAATCCATTTTGGGCTCAATTTTATTGAAGTCTGATGATAATACTTTATTTAGTAACACTTGTCCAAACAACTCCACTGGATCTATTTGCACGCTTTCTTCTCTACGAATATTTGCACAGACTTGGCAAGTGCATGTATTAGAAACATTCGATTCAAGTATTTAATAAGACTACAAATTTCTACCTTTATAGGAACTATAGGAACAGTTGTACTTTTTCGTCACTTTTCTTAAAATTAATAATTGATTTGTCCTATTACTAATATTTACTTACAAGGAAGATTTACAGTTGGAAATTTCGTGACAAGTATCAATGTACTTACATAAACGACAACAGCATTAAGTAAAATATACTTATCTTTTCATGGCTATAGTTTATCATAAGGATTGCAATATGTTTATATACTGAAAAGACCTACGGAAAGTCTTGGAGTTTGTGCACGAATTTATTTTAGAAAAACGAAAATATATGAAATTTTAACAATTAAATTTAACTCAAATTTACAATTCTGAGGTGGTTCTTAATTCAGTTAGAAAAGTAATGATGTATACAATTACAAAATAAAGGCCTTTCTGACACGAATAGAACATTTAATTAATGCTAGTAAGAGCGCAATATTTTCCTGGAAATATGCTAAAAAGCGAAAAGGAGGGTAAGGAGGAATTTTTGGAAAAGAGGGCGTCAGTATTAAGCGTAGAATAACGAGATTGGATGGTGTGGATAAAAATGAACACATCGAGGTAGATGGCTCGAAAGTATGTGTCAGTATATGCTTGCTGGAAACTATAACAGGATTGACACATCTAACAATGTGGCTGCTGAGTTTTGAAGATTACTTTAAACTAACGTATGTCGTAAATCAAATTTATGCATGTCGTAACTATAGACAATTGATCTAATCTGATAACTTCACGATATTTATGAAAGTAAATTGAAATTAAGAATATTCAGGGTTTCAAAACATTTAAGCGCACGAAACTGTTAAAGCGGTGAAAAACAGCAAGTTCCATAGTTTACGAAAAGTGAGAAATATAATAATTTCTTAGTACCCTGCTAATATATGCAGAGCATAAATGGTCTGTGAAATACCTTACAATTTTTTGCATGCTAGTTAATATGCTTGAAGTCAAAGAGAAAATATATTTATTTTAACTTCAAAAGTTGAATCCATTTGTATTTACCGAGCTCCTTAAAATCAAACGAAAAATGCCAGCAAGTGAATTAAATACAGGGCTTAAAATTATGGCATAGATGTAAATGATTAAAAATCAATCAGAGATTTTATTTAGATTGTCCTCATGCAAATTAAAAAGTTAACTTTGTGATAATAATCACGAAGTTCGTCTTAGCTGGTCAACGTTTCACTGAGGTGGGTCTTATGCGGGTTCTTCGTGTCGGATCTATTAGCGTTTGATATGAGCTTTAAGAGTTTTTTGGAGCTTGCCCAAAAGAATCAGGATCTAAATGATAACATTGTTAAAAAATTGTCGGAGGATCAAAAAAAGAAAAAAGAGTTATATTTAAAAGAGCGTAAAGCAATTGAAGCAGCAAACAAGACTAAGAAACGCGTTGAGTCCTATGAGCCTCCTTCTTTTTCTAGCACGAGGGTTGAATATATTCCATCACCTGTTGTTAATAACACCGCTCTTGATGTCTCTAATCAACGTTCAGAACCTGAATATGTACCTACAGCAATTCCTAAGCCAAATAAACTTTCCTCTCTTATGGACGCCTTAGAGGAATTAAATGGAGAAGTTCCATTTGCAGAAAAGAGATTCAAAATTAAAACGAAGATCCCCAAGATTTGTGGCTCAGGTTCTAACACTCAAAATTCTCAGAAGAAACTTGAGAGCGTGCCTTCTAACCGTATTCTTATATCAAAGTCGAAAGTGGAATCTGATGATACTGCTTCTTCTCAATCGGGGAGTTCAAAAAGAGATAAGTTGCCGCTCTCTTCTAGTGCTATCAAAGTTTTTGGAAAGCCAGGAATAGCTATCCAGCAAAGCATTTCTACTAAAAAAAGTGAATCTCTATCAGTCCCCAAATCTGTACAAAAGCGCCTTCATTCCTCTTCCTCCCTGAGCCATTCAAATTCTTCTCGGAGCTCTTTAAAACCTGATCTGAGTAAAACTGCAGTATTGCCTTCCAAAACTGAAAGGCATGTTCCTTTCCCCTCTAAGTCAAATTCAGCTATTAAAAATCATTCCTCTTCTCGGAATTTACTTCAGAATAAAGCTCCCATTCGAACTGAAAAGTGTGTTCCTTCATCTAAATCTCCAAACGGTGTTCCTGTAAGGAATATTTCAAGTAAAACTTCGTCTACTCCTTTAGTAAAACACGCCACTTCTTCCTCCACTAAATCATTTCCATCTAGCGGTTTAAGAACAATTAACTCCATTCGTGCTTCATCATCCGCCAATTCTTCAAACCTTTCAAGACCATGTAATCCTTCTAGGGGTATTGCTGCTCAGTATGGGCTTGTTCCAACTTCGGCGACTGATTCAAGTTTGCAAATTAAAGTTCCTCATCCAAAGCCGCAGTCTACCTCAAAATATCTATCACTTAAACGACCCGTAGAAGCCCCCAAGCGACCAGCATCCACAATTCCCAAGAATGGAATTCCTCAGAAACGAACTATTTCGAATCTTCCTCGCCCAGTTCAGCCCCAAGTTTATAGACCTTCCCAACCTCCAAATAATCAGCCTATCGTCCGTGGAATAGCAGCTCAGTTGGGCGTTTTGCCACCAAGCGCTCCCTGTGGGAACAGAGATTTTGAAGACGATAGTGATGAATACGAAAGTGATGATAGCTTTATTGACGACTCCGACTTTACTTCGTTCAAAGAATACAAGTTCGCTAGGAATGAGATCTTTAAGTCCTTGCGCTTTGATCCTAAAAAATACGCTAAGGTTGGCAAGTATGATGATCTTACTTCCATGGAGTCATCATATCGACAGATTGAAAAGGAAGAAAAACTTAGGTTTGTGATCATTTTCTTTCTATTATTGTTGCATTCTTATTTTGTTTGTTCTGAAAGCATGATGGTTCATAAGTGCACTTTATCAGCCTTTAGCTAAGTGCATTTTATTCGATATATATGTCAGTGATGTGTTGAGAGAGCTCGTTTTCTTGGCAGTCATAAAGACCGTGTACGAAACTTATATACTTAATCTGCTATGTATCATTTCGATTGCGCTTTTCAACAGTCACATTACCGGTTATTAATTGCGGCTTCCTTTATGATTTGCGGTTTCCTTTTCATTGTATTTCGGTTTGTTTTGGTTTAAATGACCCTTTTTTAGACCCTCCCCCCCCCCCTAATATGTCCTTTCTTTAATGTCTGCAATCCCTTTCACTTTTCTTTACCACAGATAAGCAAAACTAACTTAATTACCACTAGTTGGAAGTATCTTAACTTTTTAAAAAGCTGAATTTGTACCGATAGATTTCGACTGCATTCATCTTATTTTACGCATCAGTCCACTGCTGTTGGTTTATAGTGCACATCTTTTTGATTGGCAAGGTTTGGATTAATCCATCAACGTAATACTTGAATTATCATTTTCACCATGTAATTTAAATCGCCAGTTAAATTTTAACAAAATGGTTTTCTTTATTGTGTCTACTTACTTTCCATACAGCTAATTAATTATCACAAGATAATAATTTTTCTCTTGTTTTTATTGTTCTCCTATCTTTATCAATGTTTTTAACTTATGAGCTTTTATCCAGGCAGTAATTTAGAGGATAAAACAGTTATTTGTTAACTAGATCATGGAAACTAAGGCTCATGGAGATTTTGCTCAAGAGAGGTAAAGGCTTCTCAAGAACGGGTATCTTTTCTTTATTTGTCATGTTCATTTTTCTTGAGACCTTTGATTTTGTTCTTTGACCTCATTAACTTCATGTTCAATTGTTGTTTAGAGTCAATGAATTTGAAAGCTTCACATCGCACTTAATTATCTCTTTGCGGTAGACAATTTTTCCAGTCCTGTCCCGCTTACTAGTATAATATTTGAAAAGGAGCACATTGGAGGAATAGTTCAAGCAAATCGCGTATTATTCTCCTGGTCATTTTTTAATAAATGGTATCAAGAATACCAATAGGAGAATATAGTGCATTCAAGTGTCTAGGGGATAAAGAGAAAGGGCTGCGTTTTAATGACCACATTCATATGCTTCTGAAGACGTTATCTTATGAACACTTTAAGATCACCTCTTTTCTCCTCATTTTGTATTCTGCAGAGTAGGCTTGTTTTCAGAAGAACCAATGGCAGTTTAAATTCGGTTGACGATTTTACAATGTTCCATCCATCAGGATTTTAAGGTAGTAGACTTCACGTACGTTGGAGTAAATGCCAATTGTTTGAGGTTTGAAATTGCCTTAGCAACTTCTTATACTGACTGTCAGTTGGCGTCTTTGTCCCGCTCTATATCGTTGTTTGTAGCAAATCAATTTGAGTGGTTTGAGCACCTTGCGTTGTGGGTGTGTCGGAATTATGTAAGCCTCAAATATGTGTATTGTATCTGTGACGTTCCGGGCTTTTTTCCATTTATCACACATCTTCCCATCTTACAATTTATCTTTACTCTGCCGTAATTGGACTCCATAGTTAGATTGTTGTAAAATTCGTTTGAAAAATGAGGTCTACTTAATTTTCATTCGTTTTCTCATTCTAGTCTTCGACTTGGAGCTCAAGAAGACAAGGAGGATATGGCCTGGGAAGAGGAGCGTCGACGAAGGCGGATGGAAAAGCTCAAACACCACCACAAGGAGGGATAATAGCAATTCTCAGCTAATTATTTACACAATGTCTTTCTCCCCGTGAACTCTTTTTGCTTGTTTTTTTGTATATTTTGAATTCACACTTTCCTTTCCTCTATAATACTATTTGTGTATTTTTATTCTGGAAAGATCAACTCTATTCCTTATACGTTTGTTCGTTTTCAGTTGGCAACTTTAGTTGTCTATATATAGTCATCTGGATAAGTTTAAAGTGCCTTCAAGTATGCTGAATGGATTAGCGGTATGTGCGTTCTGCCAAGTTGGAGGTTACAAGATGGCGCAAATTCAGTGATGTGGATGACGAGTCGCATTGGTTAATTCTGGTTAACAAGAGGCGTAGTGGAGTGTTCACCCCTCTATCGAGCGAAGCCTCCCTGGTTATTGGTATCTTAGCTTAAGTTTGTTGAAGTTTGAAAATTCTAATCAATATTAATTATTCTTTTTTAATTCTTGACGAAAGGCTTGGTCATTTAAAATTCCTCCTTTGGCAGTTAAGTGTTCTTTGATTTTGACTGATGTAGAAAACAAAATGCGACCAGTTGCTTATGGCGCAGATAAAGACCAGTCGTTACTGTACGTAAAAATGCTCATCTCGCTTATGCCGAGGCTTCAAACTAGAAGGGGTTTTTCACATACCGGTCTTCTTTCCAACTTTATATATCTAAGATACAAGAATATATCATTACATCTGTAAGGTCATTGGCTTTTATATTGCAAGAACAATCGTACTTCAGTTAGGCAATAAAGTCTAGGTGCCTCGGTGGCGTGGTAGTATTGTGCTCAATTGTCATGGCATACGTGATAGGCTCGATACTCTCATATTTGGAACCGCCTATAGCAGAGTTATGAAAGAGTGAGATTCCCGATCGGAGGCCTTTCAGAAGGTAATCTCTACCCAGATTGACATGGGAATTTAAAGGAACTTCGTGAGTGCTAGGTCTCGATTTTGTATAGAACCATGAGGTTCTTTGAAAAGTGATTCACCTCAATAACGAATAACTATGATTAGTTGTGTTCATCGCAATTATTTTTCGAGTGCAATCTTACCATTTTTCCCCATTTATATATAGGCATACATCTTAAAGGGAAATGGCAAATTCCAACTCTCAAGGCTTACCTTACAAATTATTGCGAAAGCTCTGTAGTGATCACCTTAAAAATCCGCATTTCTTGCCATAAAGCGAAAATTAGCCGAATACGAAGCGTTCTTAGAATAACACAACAAGTTTAAACGAAACTTTTTTTCAAGAGTAAGCATTCAACTCCGAAGTTGGCGGGTGTTACTTTGATGTTAATAGCGTGGGCATAGTTACCTGTAGTTTTAAAATAATATGGAGGTGATATTGTTGGCCATAAGAGAGGAATAGTGAATATGGCGTTGGATTTTAACATTACAATTTTGATCTCTTGTAAAACGGAACGGTGATTTTCGTAGAGATTTCTCCAGAGGACAAATGAATCGCTCTGTCTGACCATTTGATTAAAGTGGATAACATCATGATCTCGAGAAAAGTCCTAAAAGAGAGCTGAAAAGAATTGGGCGCCGTTATTGGCTTTACCGGGGGTTTGAAAATAGATATCGAAAGGTACCAACATGGTAGTTGCAATGAACTTTTGCGGGATAAGTTCGGTTCACGGAGTGCAGATCTATCACGACCAGGCATGATAGACCGCTAGCGGGTCTCGTGTACTTTTTGAATAGTGGTAATAAGGAAAACTCGTTTGAGAAAGAAGCGAATTGGGGAACTCCCCTCCCCCCCTCTTGTCCCAGACTTTTAAATCTTCCGTCCAAAACAAACAAGACGGCAGTGAAACCGACAGCTTATTGAGAGAAGTGGCCGAGGATTAAGTATCAGTTGTAATTTCACCTTAGTGTGTATGCATAGACCAAGACTTCCTTGAAGTGCATTTGGAAAAGGCCAGTTCATCATCTCTTCTGTGAAAGAAAGGGTGGATGTAGGCGAACATGCCTCGAGTGATTATATTATTTATGCTCAGATTACAAAGGCGAAGTCGACAGAGTCTATTGAGGCCAAGCAAATTTAGACGAGGGTCGGCTATGTAATCTACTTTTGAGATTACAGTGTCCTAAGAGTGTCGGACCAGAGCTTAGCTTCCGCATCAATTAGTAAGCTAAATGCCAACCTCGACAGTGTTGATAAGTTTCTGTTCATCAGAAGGATTCTGGTGTGGCACAATTTATGCAGATTGAGATAAAGGGACCGATATTTTATGGATTCGACAAGTGTGCCTGACTTTTGAAACAATAAAGACTGAATTAAATGTGAGATTCACTATTTAACTTCTTTTCTGAATTTGATAAGTAACTTCACAATTGGCAGAACCCAGAATCCTGAAGAGACTACGAACTCCTATTCTACCATCCCGTTAACCTTGTTTAAGATCTTGAATAAGCTCAGGAACATTTTAGGAATGCGTTTTACATCTTCAAGATGGCGAATTTCAACAGATATAGAAGATTTGATGCAATTCGATACAGGATTGGAGAATGCATATGCAAAAGAAGCATTCGCATATTTTGGACCTTAAAATTTAGCCTGATGAGTTTTTGCTTTTACAAAGACTGTTGGAAAAAAACAAACTCTTGTAAAAGACCGCATATTTTTGAGAGAATTGAGCAACTTTTGATTTAACAAAGTAGAAAGTGTCAATGAATTTAACTATTAATAACAAATTATAATTTAATTTCTTATAACCTTAGAAGCCACGCAGATCGTGGTAAATTCCAAATTTAATAATATACACCGAATTAACCACCGATTAATATATTTAGAATACTCTAACTAACATGCGACATTGCTAATAAACAGTAATACCATTAATAAACGTGTCAATTTTTTCTTGAAATTTTCCTCCTATAAATAAAAATATTCCATTTTATTCATCAAAGACATCCAAAAACCGAAAAAAACAAGCTAATCTAACACCGTGTTCTCAACTTGCAAGTACAATGAGAGAATGTAGCGGATTACTATCTTAGTAAAGCCTGACTGACTCAGAAATCTCTGTGGCAAATTCTCCTACATCTAGCTAGACTCCCAGAACCTGCTAAGTCATAGCCCAGCTATAAAGGAAACAGACGTGTAGCACGGAACACGTTTCTTTAGTACGTATATTGCAGATAAAGTGTATATGCAGGGGGCTTAATCATGATCAGGATGGCTGATTAGGTTAAACAAACAGAGGTTAATGATTGGTCGCTGTTTGTACGGTGGCTGCACACAGAGTTGTACGGCCGCACCTCCCAATCCTGACGAGCAGACATGCAGGCATACGATGGCGCACAAAGCAGCTTAAGTAATCTCACGTTTTTCCCCAAATTTGACTCAGCCAACAAAGCTGCTGAAATTTGTAGCGGATAAATGCACTAATAAGCCT